GGGGGGGGGGGGGGGGGGGGTGTCTCTATGCTGGCCGTGGCCACTGTTACACTGGCTGAAGGCCGAATCTCAAACTGTGGCGAACGCAACGCCATGTGCGCACTTGCTGGAAAAGTTCTGCCAAACTCTGCTTCGCAGCGAGGCCAGCGCCAAAGCAACGCGACGTCTCATTCAGAGTCCAGGCCGCGCGCATTTTCCTGCAACGGGAATGCGACCAGTCGTGACTAAAAGTGTGCCTTGTTTCGCCCAAGGACTCAAGGCGACTGCATCGCGCGGGGCGATGCACAGTGCACGCAAGCAGATTGGTCTGTCCTTGACAAGGCCGAAGCTGTGGGCCGGGAATCAAGGCTTCTCTCGGCTTGCAGAATCTCGCTTGCAACGACGAGCGACCGGCCCTGCTGCCTCACGCGCGGAGAAACCACCAGCCGAAACGAGTTCAGAATGCAGGTCGCGCGCTTTCTACTAATTTCCGTCCTGACGGTGCTACTTACATTCAAATGGTGTTAACAGCTGTCGCTATGGCAACTGGAGACATGAACATTCGCGACTCTCAAAACATTAAACAAACAAGACGTAACCTAAATCTTGGCCGCTGGCAGCTAAGCGACCTCCGTCGTCGTCACTCACGAGCGTCTTGACTTCTTTAATATGAAGGTCGACGACTTGGAGCTGCTTAAGCTAGTGCATCAGCGCCTTGGCTTGGACGGGGCACTGAAACCTAACCTCAGGCCTTCGGATTTAAAAGGAAAGTCGGAAGTGGGGGCCACAGGGAGATACAACCCCGCGAGACGACTGCAGAGCGCCTGAGTTCCAAATAAAGAACTGAAGACGTGGATTGAACTGGCTCAGGGTCGTGTCCAATGGCGGGCTTTGGGTTCTGCATGTTCGGTCCACACCGCCGAAGACAAGCGGCTTATTCCTTTCAACTAATTCTTATGAATTCCGAAAGAAATTCTGACACGTCCTACGAAGCGACGCCCGGACTTCATAATTATTGCAACCTGTCTGTCGGGTCATATAACTGACAGGTTACATACACCCCACGCAATTTCGTAACAAAATGTCAGCTGCCTGAACTCTTGGGGTGACATCGTCCGCAACAGATCCGCGAAAACTCGGAACACAGTGACAGCGAGAACTCTTTGTCTTCATTGCCAACAACAAACCAGAAATGCAGAAGCGTCACAGAATAACCAGACGACTTTCACGCGGGCGATTCATTCTGTCGTCAAGTTGTGCTGACAATGCGACCGACGCTTGCATTCCTCGAATCGGAGGACTTCGGAAGGTTCTGTAATTAGACCATAAGGGGCAGCAGACTTGTCCCGGGGTACGTGAACACCGAGCTGTATCTGGGTGGGGCAGTGGCCAGTGCAAGCGACCAGGTTGTTGCTATTTCAAATGTCATTGTTCGCTCCGAACAGCACATGGGTTGGTGGTTCTTGTCCAGGAAGCACGTTTACCGACGACTTTTTTTCCAAGAAGGGCCTGGCGACTGAATCCCTGGGTAGAGAAACAGAACGAAAGACGCAAGTTTCTCGCCTGTGCGTGAGATCGCAGGACCAAGCTCCGAACTTCACTCTCCGAAGCTGATTACTTATTGCACCAATCAGAAGAAAACCCAATCTCTAAGAAACGGGTCGGTGATCTTTCAGAAAATCGCAGGATGATGTAAGACCCTTTGGTCTGAAAGGTTCTCTTCGATATTGTGAATTTTCTACTCTCAATGCATTCCAGCGTGGCACTGAGCGAGTGGGTCACTTCTGCCGAAAGAAAAAGAAATTGGTAGGGAGGCGTGGCCGGTTTACGG